GCGTAGAACTTTCGTTCACACACATTTTCATTCACACGATGTCTCATTCACACTTCCCTGCAGAAAATTATCCAGGTCGTGAGGGATTTCTTTAAAATATTAATTTCGAACGAAATGAAGGGTTTGACTTTTGCACCCACATATACGGTATCTTCTGAACCTGAAGCATACTCAGCTTTCTTTCTCCAAACCAACTCACGATTCCTTGTTATAAAATGAGCATTATCTCATTTCTTTCGGTATATCTAGATGTTGCCAACACTCGAATCCTTGGTAAACACATAGCTTTCTTGAGAACCGTACATGGCACATCTGCAGCAATCAAACCTTTATTCATGCACTACTGTATCGCAGACATATTCCTCTTTCGTACCAAATCATTAAAAAAGTTGTGTGTACTTATGTACGCACGTAAGAAGTTAGACTTCTTTGGCGTAACAAGATTAAAATCTTTCTAAAAATCTTTATCAAGGCAAACTGGGCAAAAGACGAAAGGTGGTCACTAACAGAGTTGAATGATACTAAACTCTAGTCAATCGGACCAGCCAAACATGAGATAATCACGATTTAACTAAATTTAAACACCACCGTAAATGGACAATAGGACCATTAACAGGGGGGTTCCAGACTATATCTGGAGATGAAGAGAACCAAATGTGACATCTGAGATCTCATATTGAATGAGACTCGGTAGGTAAATCGTTCCTGAGGACATTAAGACAACCGCCTAAAGTGCACCCTAGTTCTGGTCATTTTAAAATAATTAAAACATTTAAAACAATTAAATAAAATATAAGCAGGGCACACCCAGCAACTCGAAACTGGGCCTGGGAGTGTGCAAATACAAGGGGAGTCCATTAGAACCGGTCCGGAGTCTGTAGTGGCAAATGGGTCTGCGCTAGCTCGAGAAAGGAAAGCTTTATAAACTTCCCATGGAGGGGAACAACTGTGACGTAAATGGTCTCGTACATCCCAACTATACACAGAGTAGTAGGTGATCTCAAAGTTTCATCCTTATATCTCTGTAATATCGTTACGTCATCAAAAGATCGAACCACATAAGAAAAACATGGGGATTCTAATTTTAGTGATAACACCCACTACCTAAGCCCACTATCCTCTATTGTAACAGATAAAACAGCTCTAGTCCGAGTTTCTTTAACGAATTTTAAAAATTCTCGAAGCTATGTGGGATTTAAAAAAAGTTATAACTTTAAAATAATTTAAAAACGTTAAATATATATGGGTTAAGAAATGGGGCTATGGTCCTGAAAGAATTTGTCTAGGATACTCAAAGAAAGAACAATCGAATCCAAGAGGTGCGGTCGACCAAGGTGGCATAGGATTAGAGTTATTTCTGGAGAAGCCCTGTAGGGGAAGGGCACCAATTCCACGTAAAGCTCACGCTAAAAAGAAAATATGCCGGGCCTCCAAAAATCAAGTCCCAAGCTCAATTCCTTAAGGAGGTGAAATTTTTTCCAGTCCTCATAGGATTAACACGGGAGCATGATATTTTAGTGCTTAAGCCCTCCCCAGGCCTACACAATGGGAATGAAGCAGATGACTTGTATGTGTCTCGATGAGTGGAAAACTTGGTTCAAATTTCAAGTCCGATATTCGAACAGGAGTCAAGATATTGTGAATTTAAACAAATTTAAAAAGTTTAAGACAATTAAAAACTATAGACAAAATAGCCCTATGAGCATGAAATTATAATAACTGGAAGAGCAGATAGAGAGGGATTGAATGACCGAAGTCCTAATGGACTGTGAGGCCCGGGTGCCGAGATATTGGCCAAAACGCTGTAAAGGGGAGAATGCTCAGGGGGAATGCGTTCCAACACATATGGCTTATAACAATAGTTATTATGATTCCCCAAATATCAGTCCCATAGCACCAAAAAAGTAGCATGTTAAAATATTAGACAACTGTGTGCGCGCGTGCATCGTAAAATTTACCCTCATCCTTTTTCCCTAACGACCAAAAAAAAAAAAAAGGGGATAACTTCAAAAGTAAATATACGAATACAAAAGGCTCTTTAAATTTCTACAATTTAATAAATGTGTTTATGTTCATCGCAATGCGTTCGTAGTAAATACGTCTACAATCATATATATCACTTGCAATTGTTATTTAAATAGGTAAACTAATATTTACTCTTATATTTTATGTACAATTGAAGATTAATTTACTAATTTTTTTTTAATTTCCTGTAAGTATGTTTGGTTTAATAACAAAAAGTGTTCACAAACAAATGTATCAGAGAAGCTCCGTAGGCGAAGGACGAGCTCTCCCTACTAGTAGTGACGTCACAAAGCAGCGCAAAGCAAAGATTCGCAGACAGGGGTGGTATAGCTCAGTGGTACTGCATTCGATTGCTAATCGAGAGGTCCCTGGTTCAAACCAAGGTGCCACCTTCTTCAGGGAAGTGAAGAGAAATATTTTTTTTTCAGAATTTCAAAAGCAGGAACGATCTGTCCCGTTCTGCATATCTCTAGACAAAGCATTTTCGTATTCGTTCTTAAGGAACGCAAAGCAAAGATTATCTGACGTGGGGATATAGCTCAGTGGTAGGGCATTCGACTGCAGATCGAGAGGCTCTCGGTTCAAACCTGGGTCTCCTCTTCTTCAGGGAAGTGAAGAGAAATATTTTGTTTTAGAATTTCGAAAGCGGGAACGATCTGTCCCGTTCTGCATATTTCTAGACAAAGAATTTTCGTATTCGTTCGTAAAGAACGCAAAGCAAAGGTTTAGATTACGCGAGGCTATAGCTCAGTGATTCAGCATTCGACTGCAGATCGAGAGGTTCTTGGTTCAAACCCAGGTGTCCTCTTCTTCAGGCAAGTGAAAAGAATTTTTTTTTTTGAGAATTTTGAAGGCTGGAATGATCTGTCCCGTTCTGTATATTTCTATTCAAAGCATTTTCGTATGCGTTCCTACGGAACGCGAAGCAAATATTCGCTGACACGGGGTGTATAGGTCAGTGGTAAAGTATTCGACTGCAGATTGAGAGGTCTCCGGTTCAAACCCGGGTTTCCCATTCTCCAAGGAAGTGAATAGAAATTATATTTTCGCACCGTATTGGTGGTCGCGTACGCCCTGTTCTTCGCTGACTTATACTGAATTTCTGGGGGAGGGGGGAGTGCACATGGAAGTAACGGAAATATATTTTAATCCAACCAACCTCAGCTTCTGTTTCTTTGTTGTCATGGTAGTCTCAAATTCTTTATCCTTCACAAGTTTTCTCGGATATCTGAACCAAAAATATTCCTTTTTTTTAAATTGGCTTCGAATTAACCTGCGATTTTTTTGCACATGTATTTGAAACAATCTCCGTCTTTTGGAATAGCTTTAAGAAACTGCTTTTCTTTACACATAATTTTATATGTAGAGGGGTAACAGTACATTGTTTGGTTCGACTAAGCTGTTCATAATCACATTCTTTGTGGTATGATGATTAAAAAATAATTTCAAAATTATTTACGTACAAAATATAAGATGCAACTAAGGACCTTTTCGGTAAGAAAGACAGACTGAGTAATATCCACGACTGCCAAAGATTTAAGTTAAATGGACATCGAGTAAATAAAAGTGAATAAGATCAAAATGAACAATATAAAAGACTAATAAAATACAAAAATAATACCGCAAGAAAGGTGTGAATAGCAAATGATTTGCTATAGCAATCAAATACCAAAGAAACCACTACTGAACAACGTAGGGCGAATGAGTGTTTATTATGTTTATTAACCCTACTCCTTAAAGTAGATGTTACCAACGTTTAGAATTTTATAGATCAATCAATTTATAATTTTATATTTAGCAGATCACTAATATGAATTTAAATAAGAGTTAATTTATTTAATAATAATGATCAGAGGACATTTGTTTTATTATTTGTAAAAAGCAGCTATTAAAGAGGTGTACCAAAGAAAAAAGTTTTTTTTTCTTTTAAACGAAAAATGTAAGCTTATTGATGGTTTCACATCTTAGAGGGATGTTTGTTTGAAATCGGTTGTAGAGATTTTTTTCCAATGACGTCACTGCAAAAGGAAAGCTGTATTTATTTCAAGCCGAAATCAGTACCGAGTTTTAACTACTGTTACATTTTCATTTTTATCAATTTCATGTAATTATCATTTTCATCATCATTGTCGTTATATTTTTACATCTCGTCGTCGTACATAATCTCTATAAATAAAGTCGCAATTTTCCACGGAGCACCTTTTTGCAATCACTAATCTAACGCAAAATCGAGGGCTATTACTGGAATGCCCAAAAAACCGAGTGGCCGCGGTTGGTGAGTTGTATAGGTATCGGATCGTAGCTGGATTTGTCATGAGTTCGAGCCCAGTACCACTAAAGACCCGCCTTGTAGGGCAGAGATGCGCGCTAAATCTGTAGAGAGCTGAAACGTCCTCCCGTTGGTGTGGTGTGATAGTTAGGAGAGGGAGGGTGCCAGCTCAGGTGTCGTCCACGCCACTTGAACATGGTTCAAAATTACGTGGTCCGTTGCCAAAAGCCCCCGTGTAGCTGAACAGTGCGACGTTAATATTCACTCACTCGCCCATAAACCGAGCTCACGCGAAAGAAAAAAAAGAAAAGGAACTTCATAATATGAAAAGCTTTAAAAAATCTTTTTTCTTCCATGAGGATTTTTAAGAGAAATAAAACCCGTTTTACAATATGTTCAGGAACTGAGGGCATGTTTTGGTGAATCCAAATACGTCGCGAATACTTTCCTTTTTGTTGAAAACCATTTTTCAAGCAAATACTTAAAGAATGAATCGAATTAAATCGCTCGCATTTTCCTTTAAACGAAAAGGATGCAATTCTTTGTGTAAATTCTGATTAAAAGCTTCAATGACTTCAATTGTTGTGGTGTGGTAGTTAGGAGAGGGGCTGCCAGCTCAGGTTTCGTCCACGTCACTTGACCATGGTTCAAAATTACGTGGTCTGTCGCAAAAAGCCCTTGAGTAGCTGAACAGTACGACGTTAATATTCAATAAATCAATCAATGACTTCAATTACAACTTACTTGATTTAGAAAATTTTGGAAACTAAACTCTGATTCTTATACTGTAAAATATCTATGATTAAGTATAGTTCATAACTCAATCCAAATAATTTAATTATACTTTAAAAACCGGAAAACGAAATGAACAATTACAAATACACGATTAGAATTAATACTCAATATCGTAACATTACAACTCAACCACAATCAAAAATACTTTAAAAAAATCAATCAATCAATTGATAGAAACTGTATATCGTTACCTGTTACTCGATGTGCAGGCAGCATTTTCATATTACTCTAGAGAAATTCATATTGTTCTGGCTTTAAAGTTTAAAATACGGATCTAAAAATCTTTTACTTGAAATATCTCATTTTGAGAAACTTCGTGTGCCATTTTGATTAACTTGAGCCATGAATAGACTTTACTGTGAAGAGTGTCAGTTTACCTTTGAAAATGTGAATGCTTTTAAAAGTCATATTTGTTCGAGAATAGCAAATAACGTGTCTCAAGGAAACGGATGTTACGAATTTTCCATTCCTGGGAGAGAAGCAGAACATTTGAATTCGGAGGAACGAATTCGAGAATTGGAACTTAGCAAATCGAGAATTTTATCAACGACTACTTGGACTGGGGATGATGTATTCAGAAACTTAAACGACATTTTTTCGAGTCCCCTGAAAACATTGTTGCAATTATCAAGGAATTTGACTTCAGCAACAAATGTTTCGACGAATACATTCATAATTCCGAACTCGAACCACCATCCCTTCCACTGGAAACAGATAAGGGAAGCTATCAAACAGCCGAAAACTGCAGATCCTTGACTTCTGATGATTATTTCAGAGATTCAGACGATGCTTTGGTTGAAAAAGTTTTATCATATAATTTTCCATCAGAATTTTTAAAGTGTACGATAATCCAAGAATCTGGTGCAAAAACAAAATCCATTGCTTCTGGTGAATCAGTAGAAGATATTTTTCCGATTCTAGAAGGAATGCATTTATCCAATGATCAATCACAAAAATCAAATTCTTTCTGTTATTTATCGGGTCAAGCAGTCGGGATGAGTGAAAGTTATACAAAGAAACAAATTGCGCCTTTAAGTGAGTTTTTCTATAATTCATTTCTCATCAAAATACCGATAATTATAATACCATTCAGGATGGTAACTTTACATTACGGAATAATTTGTATGGCAATAATCCATATAACGCTACATTAGATCCAAAGCCAAGTCCAAACAAATGCAATTTTAGTGAAATTTCACCCGCAACAGATTCAAAGATTTCTGAAAATAGCAACTACTATTTTGGTACTAATTATTCATATTTGACATCGAATAATAGTTCGCTTGTAGGTACTGAAACAATAAATTTCTTTGGGGACGAAAAGCAGTGCATTGTAGAAATGCCGTCTTTCCAATCCAAAGATAAAGAAATATTTAATTTTGAGAAATACTCGCAAGTGTCTTACGATGAAGCTAATCTCAGTGAGCGTAAACAATTTCCCGTGGAAGATATTTCCAAAATGATGGAGAATCCTGAAAATTGGCTAAAAACTGGTTTTATAGCAGAAAAAAATTTATATAGAGATAGATTCAATAATTCTGCCAAAGTTCCTGAAGGCATAAGTTTTAAGAAACGTAAGCTCTTACACAAACATTTGAACTGTTTTACCTGCAAAGAATGTGAAAAAATATTTTATTCCCGAAGCAATTTTGATAAACATAAACGTTTGCACACAGGAATAAAACCCTTTAAATGCGAAGAGTGTCATCGAACATTTAGTCGAAAAGACTATTTAACTACTCATAAACGTGTCCACTCAGGAGAGCAGCCATTTGAATGCGAAGAGTGTCATCGAACATTTAGTCTGAAAGGCAATCTTATTAACCATAAACGTATTCACACAGGTGAGAAGCGCTTTAAATGCGAAGAGTGTCATCGGACATTTAGTCGAAAAGACCATTTAACTACTCATAAACGTGTGCACTCAGGAGAGCAGCCATTTGAATGTGAAGAGTGTCATCGGACATTTAGTCAGAAAGGCCATCTAACTACTCATAAACGTGTCCACTCAGGAGAGCAGCCATTTGAATGCGAAGAGTGTCATCGAACATTTATTCGAAAAGACATTTAACTACTCATAAACGTGTGCACTCAGGAGAGCAGCCATTTGAATGTGAAGAGTGTCATCGGACATTTAGTCAAAAAGGCAATCTTATTAACCATAAACGTATTCACACAGGTGAGAAGCCCTTTAAATGCGAAGAGTGTCATCGAACATTTAGTCTGAAAGGCCATCTTATTAACCATAAACGTATTCACACTGGTGAGAAGCCCTTTAAATGCGAAGAGTGTCATCGAACATTTAGTCGAAAAGGCCATCTAACTACTCATAAACGTATTCACACAGGAGAGAAGAGCTTTGAGCGAGTCTCCTTGTGTTCAGAAATTTAGTTCGAGACCTCATTAAAAAAACCTAAATTTCCCTTACACGGGAGATATGCGAATTGAAATCTACAAAAAAAATTCTAGAAATATGCTTTGAAGTTATACCTTAAGAAACAAATACATTTAAATGTGTTTTTAAAAGCTGTATATATGTAGAAAGAATTAATATCTGAAAGTGAACTGAATTATAAAAATTATAACTGTATATTCTTTTATCATCATTGCAAGAGTCGGGGTAATTTCCAATATGTAGTGATGGGTTTTATTTGAGTTTGAATATACATATATTGACGTAGCTATTTTTCGAAATTGCTTGAAATGTAGAAAATATTTTGTATTATTTATCGTGATCACAGTTT